GACCTAACTAACAACCATCACCATATGCCTAAATTAACGCGAATGAAAGCCAATAGCAGTATGAATTACAAGCAGCCGCTAACTACCCCTTAAGAATGTATGAATCCTCGCCATTCGCTCCATGTCTTTTGTTAAAAGTTCTTTTCGTACACCAACCCATTCTCCAGAGTGCCGATATCGGTTTTTAGAATGCACCAACTGATCAACAACCGTTTATATTAAAAACTGGAGGATGAAATTATAACAGGAAAACGAAATGGAAGAATTGATGCCACATACTTTTAACATTTAAACAGGTCGAAATTGAGGAACTGACCAAAACTTCGGTGACGAAAATGAACACGCCAGTTAGACAGATTAAGGTACCACAGCAATAACAGATAAAAAAAAATTCAAAACAATCATGCGCACATTACCATAAGACATTGGCTTGAAACCCCCATTAAATTTGGTCCTTCGAAAAAAAAAAAAAGGAAAAAAGCGTTCTGTGTAAAAATGAATTTGTTTTTGAAAAAACTAAACAAAACGAGACTGAGTCAAGAATTCACTTACCACTTCTGGTCTGATTTTTCGATAAACTCAAAGAGGTCAGTTATAAATCCTTGAGCAATTACTGGTTCAAATACTGCATCATTTCTGACTTCCAGTAATAATACAATGCCAAACGATCAAAGCCATAATTGAAATAATCGAAACTGGCATCCTGATAAATTTCCGCTTGTTGAAATGACCAAATCCCCCAGAATAGTTGAGGAACAGCTGCAAACTGACGCACTTCGCGTAGTAACCGCTGCACAGCCTGTTCACGATCATCCGGCAAATCCATGATGCATCGAAGTTTCTCCCGACCGGAGCTATTCCTAATCTGGAACCGAATTCAAAGTTGTGAGATTTGCAGAACCGATGGCTGGCATCTTACATCAATGTTCAAAAATGACTTAAGTCTCTATGCTACAAGGGCTTTCTATTCCATACTGGAGAATTTGAAATTTGAAGAATTGTCGCTCCAAAATATGTTTATCTCATCACAATTTCACTACTTTTAATTCCCATTTTTAGACAGACAGCTAAAACTAATCGACTACCTAATGAAAATATTTTCGTAGAGAACATATATAAAAACAACTTTGGAATATGGCCAAATGCGGGCCTTCAAAATGCTAGGCAAATTAAGCACAAGACCATAACAGTTAAAAAGCAACAGTATTTTAAACCTAAATGCAGTCTGTCCTCGTTAACTGCTCCACTCATAAAAGATGACGCCAAATTCATTAACTTCATCCCCGCATACCTACATATAAAGTGCTTAAACTTCAACAGATAAGAAGGAAATTAGGCGTATGTAACAAAATGGAAAAGGCGTACCAGGGCAGCCGGTGCTATCATGCGTTTTGTGCAATTTCTTCTACCAAACGATTGCCTGCTAATGATTTTCACTCCTCTAAATTTAAATTTGAGAGGTTCCCCCAAATTTCAACCTTCTAGATTCCGCAGTTCCCGAGATAATAGTTTACTCGTCAAAAATTTAACTGGGCAGTAGGTGATATCCGAGGATGTGGGAACGCTGAATTTGAATTTGCGAGGTCGTACGTGGGAAGGGGGTTATTATTCCAAAACCTCAGGTTCCTAGATTCCGCGGTTTCGAAATAGTTTACCCGCCAAAAGTTTCACTGGGCTATATTTGTTACTCACAGGTACGGGAAGGCTGAATTTAAATTTTCTCGGTCGCACGTGAGCAGAGGGCATACCCATAAAATTTTGTCTTCCTAGCTTCTGCTGTTCCCGAAATAATAATTTTCCCCACCAAA